TCAGAACATTGTCTGAGGTGATAGGTGATGCCTTTCTTTACATGTGGTTCTTTGCAGGAATGCTTTTTCTTTTTCGACCGTATCAGTTAAAGGGCGTGAAAAGAAAACTTATTCTTGTTGCTTTTTTCCTGTTCTGTGTTGATATAGTGTATCATGTTGTCCTTCAAATGTTTGGAATATCTCATTCCAAGCTTTCTGCGACTCAGAAGATTCCTCTCTACGTTATATTTCAAATTAGCATATGTTGGCAAGGTTATCTTCTGACAAATCACTTCCGGAACCTGTCGAGGAGAACGAGTTTATTTATAAAATTGACGACACCCTATTGCTCAACTTTTCTTTTTGGCTTCTTTATAGCAAGGTTTATTTATCCAATGTACAACAAACAAACTGAAGATGGAAAACTCCTTATTGCACTCTTCTTACCTCTCTTTGGAGTTATCCTCAAGGTAATCTTACGACTTTGCACTCAACGCTTGAAGAAAGTTGTTCATCCGGGATACTCCTACATCCTGTTAGTGCCGTTGTATTTTGGATCAGCGGTCATGTTTCGAGTAATGCAGGCAGAACTTGATAACCTTAAATTCATCGCTGTTCTTGGAATAATTCACGGCGCGGTAGAAGTTTTAGAACGAAGTGCCATGGTCTTCATTGATCATATTTGTCATGTAATCTTGAAAAGAAAATCAGCTCCATGGGGAAGTTTTCGCACTCCTCGCCGCGAGAGACTAATGGCTGATATCGTCATCATAAGCATGTTGTCCGAATCAACTGCTATTGTGTGCGTTAACGGATTGTTGTACGTATACCAATTCATTTACTTACAAAACATCTCATTGTTGAAGCTGCTTCAGGAATTTGTTATACGTACCTCAGTTCCGCTGGTTATTGAATGGTTTTTCACCGGCGTATCCCTGGCCATCGAGACTCGCTTTCAGAATATCGCGGTTATGGCTGTTTGGCGTAAAAGATGGAAAAGACACATTTTGTTTGCTATAACTAACCTGGTTCCGCTAGCTATTTGGACGACAGGAAATCTCTTGGAAGTTGTGCATGGGCGCTTTGATGAGTCTGAAGGTCACCCTTGCAAAATGCCCTTTTCATAGAGAACTTCTAAAAACTTGCCGCTATTTTGCTTATCGCTATTTTGCTCGAGTTGAAGTCAACGTCACGATCGACCGATACGGAGGTTTCACTTAAGGCAGTACTTTCAGCCTCAGGGATATCGCATGTTAAACCGGCAACGCCAGTCGATAGACGTACCAGTTTAAACTGCGTCTCGGTATTCGAACTGTGATTGCTGCAAACGGAGGCAGCCATCACACTGGAGGCCTTCTTGACGGGATCGAACTGGTTGCTGACAAGAAATACATATCGTAAGGAAGATCGAAGAGATCGTAACGTAGATCGCGATTTGATTCACTTGTTAGAGTTGCTGTCTCACCTCAAATTAAAATTCGCACGATGCCATGTGATATCTTCACACCTTCACACCCCAACAAGATCGAAATATCCTTTACGCCATTGGAAAATTAGTATCCTCCGATCAGCTTCTTTATTCAACACAGAATCAGAAACCTTACGCTGGCACAAGCACGCTATACGAAGGATCCAATTTCTGTTTCCGAAACCGGTATTGCACTTAAAGCTTGACAAACAGTTCTCTACCAGGCTGCCAACAAAGGGGTGTTGGTCGAGCGAATTGTCTCGAATAGCGCGAATAGTCTCGAATGGTGCGACTAGTGGCGAACAGTAGAGAATACTCCCGAATTGTGGATTCGTTGATCAATTGGAGCAATAGACACAGATAAATTCGACCAAGAAAGCTCTGTTAAAAAAAAAAAACTAAAAACAATAAGCTATTTCCTGCGTTAGTTATCCAAATAAGCAACAAAATTCCTTTCCTATACCACGTTGCTGCGAGGTTGACTGCGACGAATTGGCTACCAAATTTCTGTCATTTGTCATTATTCTCACACCTATTTGCTTTTACTCAATGAGCATTCAGTTCTTTTGTGTACCTGTTAAGTAGAAAAACCCTCGGGTTAAAACCCGAATCGAAAATGAGCTCAGTGTCCCTTCTATCACTGTATTCTTGAAATATAAACTCGTCTACAGGATGATAATACCATTCTCGACTGGTGCTTTTCATATCCACTTTTCCTGCTTTTGATGCCCAGTCGAGTGAAAAGGGAAAAGTTTAGAGACAATGGCCACTTTGTTTTCTTAATCCTAACAGCCTCAGGGTGGCTGAAAGTGGTGTCCATCGCTCTAAACCTGTCAAATTATAACCCAACGACACACATCAAAAGCCACACACTGCATAAGGACCAATAGTCCGTGAGGGAAATAGCGCTTAGGACTATATGAAGGTGCACACTTGCATACACTGGAAGAGAATCATTTTTCTTACTTTGTTAAACACGTGGTCAATTCTCAAAAGCCCTTAAGGCCACTTCGCTTGAAAGCACAGCTTATGACACGAACCAACGCTGGAAACAAATAATTAAATGTTTTTTGTCCATAATTGAATAGTATGGCTGTCTGTATTTAAAGTCTAAATTTTAAATGAAAACAGGCAGGTTTAACAACTATGACAATAACTCATAGAAAAATAACTAGAGTCAAAAACATATATCCATTCATGTCTCGATGTTTCTGCATCTCTGAATTCTCAGGAACTAGATTTAAAGTGGACGATTCGTTTTAGGTAAAGTGTGCCCTCTTACCAGCCTTTCTATACAGTTCATGTATGAAAAGCAGAAGAAGAAACTATCACGTCACTAAACTCTTCCGAGTTCTGCGGATCATAGCAAACTGTATTCATGAATAAAACTGACAGTCTCTCGAGTCAACAGAAGCTCGTAGAGAAGAAAATGATCGAAAGCTCATTTTCGATTCGGGTTTTAACCCGAGGGTTTTTCTACTTAACAGGTCCACAAAAGAACTGAATGCTCATTGAGTAAAGGTATCGAGCTGTTTAATTGCCGTAGAACAAATGAAGTCCTGTCATCGTGAAAGCATCTGAAAGGATGTGTTGAAATAAGTGGTTAAAGATGATCGCGTAAGTTTCGAAAATACTGTCAACTTACTCTACGTATAAATTCATATCAAGGTAATCTCTGATGTCTCACATCCGTAGTACACGATTTTATCTACATACAGCGCACTCCAAATACACTTTCTTGAAAGGTTTCGAATGATAAATTTTCTACAATTCCTGCATCAATATGCATATCAGAATACACTTTCTATATGCATATCAGAATTAAGTGTTAGGACTTGCCATTTTTTTATTAAGAAGAAAGGCGCGTGCATGAGTGAACGCCGTGTAAACGGAAAACAATGGCGTCCTTACAAGCTCTTTTTTTTTATCATGCCCAGGACCTCGCATGCTTGTTGTCTAAAAGTTTTCTGTCGTCGCCTGTCGCAAATATACCTTGGATTCAGAAAAGACTAAAAGACTGCTCGCCTTCCACAAGCTGAGCGGGTCGATTTTGTTCTCCTCGTTGCCAGGTTTCGGTGACTGCAACGTGTCAATAATCTTGAGCAGTACACGCCCACTTCAGGCTCATCAGGGTCGTAATGCATGAAACTGTTTAATTACGGTGGAAAATTAGAAAACTATAAGGGAAGCGAAGTCCTGTCTTTATGAAAGCACATGAAAGGATATTTTGACATATCAAGTGGTTACTTTTTGAACAAAACTAAAAAAAAATGACTAGGGTCTTCAAAGGCTCTTTGTATTGAAAATTTTCGCTATACTGGCTCAATCAGTATTGGATATTGATGCAAAATGCATCTGAAATTAGGAAGAATAAAATATTTTATTCGACACATTGCTAAAGAGAGCGATCATAATTGAAAAAACTTATGGCAGCTTACCTAGAAATAATAAATGGATATTGGGAAGCTTCAGTTTAAGTTGGCCGATCGTCGTTATTTTGAATCACTTCGTAAATGTTCACTGAACAGCACTGAAGCAGTGAAATCTAGAAACTTCGGTTTCTTGTTACCCTGAAATGCAATGGAAGCTTTTTCAATCCGCCCTCAAGATTCCAGCAACAATTCTCCTTACTGTCTGCTATTTCGTTTATCAAGCTTTCAGCTCTGAGAATTTTTTGTTGAATGAAACAAGTTCCTTTATTAATTATCATTTATTAATAATTTATTAATATTAATTATTAATATTTACTATTATTATTTTTCAAATTATTGACCGGAAGCTTATTTTCGATATGGTGTTTGCGCCAACAACTCACACAAAAGGGTAAAGTACTCATTTGACAAATACTTTCGAGCCGTTTCAATCATCGTGTATGAATGGAAAACGATTTGCATACGTAAGCATTGTGCAATGAGGAAGTGAAGTTCCGTCATACACGAAAATTATCTCTTTGCCAAAGAAATCAGTATTTTTCGAGACTGGTCGTTAAATAAGAGGTCTTTGATGACCTTACAGAACAAAGCTCATAGGCTAAAATTGGCGTAGAAGTGATTGAT